TAAAGTTATAGGGGTTTAAAAATTGCCATTTTGGTCAATTTGGGAAATATAATGCGCGATATATTTCGCGCTATTAACGCGTAAGCGGAGATTTAATCCGTCTTAGAAATCGTTCCAAATTGGTTGAAGAAAGCCTATTTGCCATAATTATTTTATTACTAGGAGCAAAATTTATCACTTTGAAGTTTATATGGCGTGTGGTGGGATGATTTTCAGAAAAATCGCAAATTTAAAAAATATACATTTTAATTAACATTTAATTTTTCAGGTTATTACTGCTCCATAGACATTAAGAGGCAGTCCAAACATTCAGGGCTTCACCCTCGTACGAGCAATTTTGTTTTACAAGTAGCACTTTAGCTTCAAGGTATTATGTATCTGTAGCGTAGAGGTAGATCAGACACACAACAAAATAAGAGGGTTTGAACCTGGGCAGGGTCGGATTTTTTTAATGAACTTTTTTCTACACCAAATAAAATGCGTCCGCTCTATAAATTGAGGCATGTGCAATTGGTAAATTTCTTTCTTTTTCAAAATGATTGTTACTGCTAATGCGGAGTAATTGGCTTGCGTCACTGAAAAAATTTTGTAGACTCAAAGTTTAACTCATTCAATTTTTCCTAGTAGCGTTATCGGTCATATTTTTGCTCGTGTATGCGAAGTGCAACTTCGCCTCTCTGTTAATTTTTTACAGTGAGAAAAATCAAAGTTTGAAATAAACGCTTGTTTATCGAGACTAGGCTTAGGAAGTGTTTTATTTCATTTTTTTTTTGTGAGGAATGAATGGATGTTGTCTTCTAAATTCTTTTGAAATTTGTAGAGAGTGTTGTTTGAAAGTGCTTGCGAAATACATGTGATGTTGCTGATGCATTTCCGTGATTCTGCAAAGATCGTATTGAAATGCAGATTTTTGTCTGTAGGGTGTAGATTTTGTATGTCAGAGCGAGACTACGTGAACTTTCAGTATTCGTTCGCAATCGATCAAGTAGTGAGATAAAAGGTTGAGTATCTGAGTGAAGCGCCAAGTTACAAGGATATGTAAGTTTGAGTTTTGTTCCGTTTCAATGGATACCTTTGCCGCGGTGTCAGCTCCATACTTCATATCCCTTGAGGGTTGTGACTGCATCAAGCAAAACCAATGGATTTGCCATTCCATAGTCGGAATGTCGTCGACTGTTCATCTCCCTGTTGCTGCTCGTGTGTTATGCTCTGTGAAATTTTTTACAAATTTATCTCTGCACCTTGGCAATTCAGTTTTAGTTATGATCTTATTAGTTGTTGTCGCAGACGCTTTTTAGTTAGTTAGGCTATTTTGAAGAGTTGCTCACCCTAGAGCCTCTCCTAGGCAATTATGTGTAATATTTTTCAGCGTGGTGTAGTGTTGTTGGTGAGACCGGCTATAGAGCATGCTCAGGATGTCCTCTACTGGTGGGTTAGGCCAGTTGAAGTCTACTTGCTAGTGTTTCTTTGAGTAGAGTGTTTTCATGTTTATAACTTTTCTTTTCTTTGTGTAAAGTATTGTCAATTTTTTTGTGGTTGTCCTTTTCTTAAAAATGTTTTGTTTTTGATTAGTGTTGTTTTGAATTTTTTTAAGGTTTCATGTGGTCTTAACAAATTGCTGTTTTGTGTTTCAAAAGAATTTTTTATCCAGTACGATCGGGTTTGAAAAGTGGAATTTTCCTGCACTTGGTTTTTCAAGCTTAATTCCTTTAGCAACTGGGTTAAAGGAAAGTTAAAAATCTAAAATCTGTCTTTTTAAAGCTGTTATCAGTTAGTTTGTGAAATTAAAAATTTTATTCAATCACTACAATTGTCATGCGAAGTTATCAAAAATTTTAAATAGTTCAAATGAAAGTGGGCGAATTCGAGAGAAATAAATTTATGCACATAAAATAGCTTATTTTTGTTTTGGCTTTATTATTCTTATTTAATCGATTGCATTTTGTCAACTTTACTTCATTGAAATTATTAATTTTTTGCTTTGCTATAAATTTAGTTAAAATGTTTGGATTTACTGCAATCCGGTGGCACTTATTTGTATGATTTATAGAAATTTGTTTCTTTTTTTATTTGGTTTCTTTTTTTTAGAAGCTGGTGAGGAAATCTAAAAGAAAGGTGGTGGTTTTCATTAATTTAAAACGGTAACTAGATTTAAATTTTGTTAGTTTTTAAATAAATTGATTTTTACGTGAGGTCTGAGACGGGGGAAAAATGCACGGGAAAAACATTAGCGATGTTGGGTGTTTGCATTAGAAGCTAGGCTAACATGCTAATTTTGTATCTTGTGCGTAGTAGTGGTCAAAGAAGCTCAAGTTTCTTTTTGATCTTGAGTTCCATTTGAGGGACGTTAAAGTCGTGGCTAGTGTTTTGAATCAAATTATAAAGTTTGTGATTGATTTTCGTGCCATGAATGGTTTTCTACAGGTTGGATTTACTCGTCTGGGATGATCATGGGGTGGGATTCTTCTGAGGAGAAAGGTATTGGCGTGGAGACAAAATGTATACATTAGTCGAACGGGATCATAGCTACGGAGAGTGTCGTGCAGGTTAGCGCCTTTGATGCAATATTTAAAAATCAAACAATAAGGTGGCGTGTACTTTGAGTTTATAAACATATAGCTATGGTGTGGGTTTTGTAAAGGTGAATTTTGAATAAACTGTGAATTAATTGGAAAGTGTGAGTATGAGTTAGTTTGGTCTTCAACATCAATTCAAGCGAACAATTTATATCTCTTTCTTTGGGAGTGAGGAAATTAAACGTTTGTTGAAAATTATCGAAGCGGCTGAAATGCGATTCGCACGCATTGATGTTTTTGAGAATGTGATCGATAAGATTATCTAGTTTTCATCAGTATTATCAGTTGTATTATTAGTTTTTTTTGTACCTATGGACATTTTGGTCGTAGTTAGCGATGGCAAATTTATTTGACTTGCGTGCAATGCAGCGGTTTAGCATCTGTGACAGGCGAATGTTCGTGAAATCTTTCAGTTGAAGTTCTTCGTCGTCGTTTTCTGGTCGGTATGCTAAGTCGGTTCGTGAAATTTTAGAACCAAAACCAAAGGAGCGTTGGGATCAAAGTGTCATCGTCAATATAAAGAGCTCGTTGGCTTTGGTGTTCGTCGTTATCAAAAAGCTGGTTGCCTTTGGTTTCGTCGTTATTAGATGCTATTCTATTTATATGCTAAAAATGGAATAGCATCTAAAAGTCCGATCTATTTTCTATTCAAATCCCGACCTTTTAGCTATCAGGGCAACGTAATTTGCTTATAAGGGGTCAAATTGTGCTAAAATCCCCCTCCGGGATCTGGATACTTATCCCGTCCCTTCATGTTTTCAGGAGACCTACTTCCCAACCGGGATATGCTACTTTTACCGCCAATTTTTATCTGGGACTACTTTTCTTTACTCTGATTGAATTTCCATTAATAGCTCATTCGTCCAGTTAGTTTGAAACCAATTTTTGCCAAGTCTACTTTAGTTCCACTACTTCAATGTCATAATATAAAAGCTATATCTCTTTCAGCTTCGGCTTCATATCCCATTAGGAAAGTTCCGTCCCAATTTCAAGTAAGGTGACCGATTCTCGTTGCCAAGGGTTGGAGATTACGCCACTTTCCGGTGTTAATCCCAGGGTTTTCTATACATCTTTAGTCCTAAACGCCCAAAGGTCATTTAAAATTCACTCCGGGGTCAATCTTCCATTTTCAGGCTTAGATTCGCATAGGGGTCCTACCTACCAAGTTTCATGCTTGACCCATTAATACTTCCCAAGTTATCCCATTTCTAATGTCCTTTATCACTTTTCCCGGGAAAAGGATTATAACACCGGAAGGAGCCGTCGG